AGTAGACAGTTTCAGTATGACCATCTAATTTGGCTTTTTATAATCCTGTTTTGATATCCCAAAGACGGATAGAGCAATCACTAACTCCATACTAACTACCACCTCCAGAAGCTAATTTTTTTCCATCAGGAGAGAAACAAACTGAGTTGACAGTTATAGTATGACCATCCAATTTGGCTCTTTTCCTTCTAGTTTTCGCATTCCATAATATTATAGACCCATCATCACTACCAGATGCTACTGTATTTCCATCAGGAGAGAAACAGACTGACATAACATAACGACTATGGCCATCTAATTTGGCGTTTTATTATCCTGTTTTGACATCCCATAGACGAATAGAACAATCACCACCTCCAGAAGCTAATTTTTTTCCATCAGGAGAGAAACAAACTGATCTTACATAGTCACTATGACCATGTAAGTGAATTAATTCAGGGATTCTTAAGTCTCTCCATTTACAATTAAATAATATTGCGCCATTCAGATTTATTCCACTTATGTTGACATTATTAAATTAGGATCCACTTAAATTACACCTAAAAAAATTAGCTCCTACTAGGGATGTATTTTAGATCTTTATATTTTCAAAATTTTTGTTTTTAAGGTCCATCTTCATCTAAACTAATATATGTAATGAATTCGAACCACATTATACCAAAGTTTCATCAATAGATGTGAGGTGAACTAAAAATTAAAAAAATTCAATGATCCTTCTATTATCCTTAATGCTTTTAATTAGACTTAATGTATATTCTTCATATTTTTCAGAGGAAAAGTCTTTTTAATTAAAGTTATGATCTTTTAATTTTTATATTACATCTGTAATTAATTTTATGTCATTTCCAATATCAAAAAATTTCTATTCTGTATCAGCTTGGGTGATATTTTCTATGTGTTGTAAGATAAATGATTCTAAATGTATTTGATTTCTATTATCTGAGAGATATCCAATGCAATTTTAAACTTTTTCCTTTCTTAATATTTCTAATATGAGGGCAAATATTTGTTCATCTACATCTTTAACTTAACTAAAGATATCAGATAGAGCTTCTTTCTTCTAAAAAGTGTACATTTTCTTGTTTTATTTTTAATATTGAATTTTATTTCTCAAATTTTAAGTTATATACTGAAAATCTATAAAATATCTTATGTATTTTTGTAAAATAAGAGTTTGGACTTTGTGTAGATTTGAAATGGATTGTAATTGATCTAAAATATGCTATTGATAAATCATTTCAACATATGCATATCTTTACTCTTTAATAATATCGAATAAGTAATTTTTATATGAATAAATTAATTCTTAATTTGATTTCTATTATTGATTCATTCATTTTTCTTGTTTTGGCATAAATAATGGTAATTTTTTGAGAACAAATGGGAAATTGGAAAACGTCTGAAAAAGAATCTTACTTATTATACGTTAGTGAAAATTGCTATTCTTTTTGGTGTAAAAATGATTACATTATAAAATGAAAATAATATTGAATTTGGCTATATAATATTTTTCATCATTATTAATTATAAATA